AACTGTATTTTGAGTAGGATAATTTTAATACCATTTAACCGTTGATGTTTGTGTTAATATAAGAGGGTCAGTTAGATACGTACTGACGTCTTTAGTTACGAGGGAAATTTAACTTAAGAACCTTTGAGAATCGTTGTTGATTACCTGTCTGATACACACACGCACACAGGTAGTTAACGATCAGGCAGGTGTACAGATTGACCCATAGATAGATAGATAGATAGACAGACAAACTGATCGATAAATAGACAGACAGACACAGCTGACGGAAGAGAGGAATGCTTACAACCAGGAAGAGAATGAATAGTGAAAACTTGCCTGAGCTGAAGGTGTGAGCGCCATTTCTGCTCCCCACCCCACCACCCACCCACCCCACCCACACCCTTTCCCACCCACACACCCCACCCCCAACCCACCTACCTCATCACCTCTTCCACTCCACACTAACCTACACACCACTCCTTTCCTCATCTCCTCCCTCCCCCTCACCTTCCTCCCCTCACCTTCCTCCTCCTCCTCCCCACCCAGCACCTCTCCTGTCGACCCCTATTTCCCATTACCACCTTCTGTCTCTCCCTCCTCCTCCCTCCTCCTCCCTGATCTCTATTTCACTATCTGGTATTCATCTCTCTCTCTCTCCCCCGCCCACTCACCAGCTGATATTTCCGGGTTGAAGGAGAGAAGGGGGAGGTGAGGTACTGGAGAGGGGAGACACTAGGTGAGTGGGAAAGGTTATTATAAGAATGAGAGGCGTGGTGGGGGAGAGAGAGGAAGGGTGCTGGAGGGAGAGGGAGAGAGGGAGAAAGAGGAGGAGAGAGGATGGAGGGAGGAGGAAAGAAGAGAGGGGAAGAGGGTTGGAGGAGAAGGGAAAGGGACGCAATGAGGGAGGAGGAAATGAAAGGGGGGAGGGGGACTGACATCACGTAAAGGGGGACAGTCTGGTGGTAGTAGTGTGAGGTAAGAGGACGTATAAGCCACCCAGGTTAAATAATACAAAGATAAGCCCTTGTTATCTTGTGAGGTGGGGAGAGGTTAGGTGGGCCAGGTGTATGTGTTCTCACTTCTACAGGTAGGAGGAAAATTAAACTTAAGAATTATTTGAGAATCTTTTCCTGTGTTCCGCGCCTGCTGTAATAATAATAATAATAATAGTTAATAACGACAGTGGTGATAATGATAAAAATAAATAATACTCGAAATATAACAACAATAATAATAACAGCAATAACAATAATAATAACAATAACAATAACCACAAAAGAAGAGGGCTGGGTTCCTCGGTCACTAAGGTCAGAGGTCAAGCTGTAATACCCAACGTAAATTTATGGTAATGTGAAGGCTTGGTGGAGGTAACAGCCTTGTGAAAAGGTTTGTGACTTTAAATGATGACGATAATAATAACATCAATAACAATAGTAATAATAAATAAATAATAATAATAATAACAATAATAACAATAGTAATAATAGTAATAATAATAATAATAATAATAATAAAAGATAATAAATAATAATAATAATAATAATAATAATAATAATAAAAATAAATAATAATAATTAATAATAATAATAATTAATAACAATAATAATAATAATTAATAATAATAATAATAATAATAATAATAATAATAATAATAAAATAAATAATAATAAATAAAATAATAATAATAATAATAATAAAATAAATAAAAATAAATAATAATAATAATAATAATAATAATAATATAAATAATAATAATAATAGCCCAAAACAAATAACAAACAAACAAAAATAACTCACACATTACAGACGCACCAAAATATAGAATGAAAAAACGGTCCAATATGTTCTACTGTGTACTTAGCTTTGTATGTATAGATTGGTTCCTAGTGTCGTATGTATAGATTGGTTCTAGTGTCGTTTGCATAGAGTAAACGATATCTAAGGTAAACAGGCAGCAGGAACCAGGTCGAGTTACTCCCACTTGAACATATCAAACCATTAAGTATACTGTTAAAATATCACCTTACTGCCAGATATAACACATTTTATAAATAGTTCTTATAGAGAAGCATACAAACTTCAACAGGAGAATAACGAACGAAAATACAATATTATATTCTGGGAGACAGAAAATCGGCGCCCCGGTATAGCAACATTTCACAATTATCCAGAACAAATTAATATGATTAGGGAATATGTGACGTAAATTAGTTGGGCAAGTGTATGAGGTAAAATTGGTGTTGGTGATGTTGAAAAGTTGATTTGGCTGTTAAGTGTCGAGAGTCGAGTCCTGACAATGCGGTGAGGAGGTTTAATATTTGTGTTTACTTGTGTTTTATCATCGTCTCGTTAAGTAATTTATGTCTGCATATATACTTGTTTATATCAACTATAAAGAGCATGTTGAGACGATAGAGGTAAGAGTTAGCCCGACTGAAGTGGTTTAAAGAGACATTTCTGGTGCTGAGGTATTAAAGATAGGGCAGTTAACGCACAAGAGTGTAATAACGAAGACGTGGAAAGAAGTGAATGGCTGAAATAATAATATGCAGCGGCTTCTCTCACGTCCACAAGAAACCCAAAAATTACGCCATGTCAAAGTAAAAGTTTTCCATTTAATATGCTGATGGGTCCCCGACTAGAACTGGTAAGGCTAATATGTTTCTTTGGTTAGGTTAGTGCGGCCCCTGGCGTCGGTTACTTGGTTTTCTTGTCAACTAAGGTTAGGTTTAATTTAGAAGTAACCCCATTTTTTACACATTTGCCCGAATTACGACATTGTCCACTGTAAAGCACACGATAACTAAACATAGCGGTTCAAATACGCAACTCGCCGGACCGTAAGTTAAATGAAACAGAAATGTTATCATAATTTCACATACGGGAAATTATGCCGTGTGACCCATGTAGTGTAGTTATACTGTACTTGAGTGCCGTAACGCTTGTACCAGTCTGTGAACACTACTGGTCAGCGTCTGGGAGGGTGGCTGGAGGGTGGGGAAGGAGAAGGGTGGTGGAAGGGGAGGTACAAGGGTGGTAGGAAGGGGTGATGGGAGGGAAAGGGGGGTAAGGGAAGAGATGGGATGTAATAGTAAGGATTATAGGAGAGGGGGGGGTAGGGATGGAGGTTAGGAAAGGAAGGAGAGAGGAGGAGAGGTAGGAAAGGAAACAGGAAGGAAGCAGGTAATGTGAATGTTACCACCAGACTATGTTCAGGCGTGGCTCCCTGTGGTCTGGTCACCTGGTGTGCTGAGAGACTACAGAGAGAGAGAGAGGAAGAGAGACCCCGCTGGCTGTGTTGACTGGGGGGAGGCAGGAGACAGGCGTGAAGAAACTACTGTGTGTGTTTAATAACCATAATAATGCTCCTAACAACAACAATAATAATAATGATATACTACAATGTAAAAGACAACGTGATAATAGTGTAGGAATATATATATATATATATATATATATATATATATATATATATATATATATATATATATATATATATATATATATATATACAGTATATATGAATGGTCCTTTTATTCTCAGTAAACATGGAAAAGTAATTACAACACTTGGGCCATTCACAGTGTAGTCATCCTTATTATTATTATTATTATTATTATTATTATTATTATTATTATTATTATTATTATTATTATTATTATTATTTTTATTCATTGTTGAAGGTTGTCTCAGCCAGAAGTTCCTCGCATAGATACACATTGATAAAACACGTTGATAAATGTTTAGAATGGCTACAGGTGTAATAATGTATTTGGAGGGGTTAAGTTTAAATGCTCGTTTCAATGAATATAGTCCAATCCAATCAGGAAGGAAAATATGAATTGGTACATGTAGTTAATACCTGTACATGCATTATTTTCTATTGGACAGAATTGTTGTGTACAGTACTAGCATTTATATTCCCCTCAAATTTTCTTCCTCAGTGAACTTAAAAAAAATTAAGGTTTCTTTAAGTAATAGGTTAAGTTATTCCTGTACTAAGGTAACCCAGGCTCAGGTTCACAGGTGTTAAAAATTACCTCTAGATCTTGATTAATTCAGGTGTGGTTTACTGATTTAAAAACAACTTTACAATTCCTTTATTATTTACCTGCATAGTGTTTGTATAGTATGTCCGTCAAGTCATCTGTGTATAGTACAGTAATACGTACAGGAATATAAGTACGATATTCTAGTAATTATGGTAATGTAAATGTACCGGTATTTATAGTACAGTATTTTCCAGTACAGTACATATATTAGTATTTACATTTGTTTGTTGGTTATACAGTACTGTATTATCTGTATGTATGAGAGAGAGAGAGAGACAGAGAGAGAGAGAGAGAGAGAGAGGAACAAGGTGGTACAGTACAGTGATGGTTGGTGGTCAGTGTGTGGTTGGATCCCACTGCAAAATTATGGGTTAGGTTGTGGAGAGATTCGTAACCCACTCCAGGAAAGAAGACCTCCCACTCCTGTAACATTTAATACAAGAAAGTATAGTACACAGTTTACTCTCTATTATAAACTATACAAAATTGACTTATACACAAAAAACTGTGTGAATTATACCTTTACTTGTTTAATTACATGAAATCGTATTAGACATTAGTTATTGTGAAGATTAGGATCATCTACTTATTTCACCTCATGATTCAACACCCTAATGCTAACCTAACCAAACATAACAACCTGTTTTAACCTATTATAACCAAAACTTAACTTAACCCTTGCCTTACCAAGTCTAATCCAACCATAGTGTAGCCATTGTTAAGACTTGTTAGTTAATATAAGTCACCTCACTCCTCGCCCATGTCACTTTTGTTTGTTTACTCCTAGCTACATGCACACACACACGCACGCACACACACACACACACACACACACACACACACACACACACACACCAGTTTTAAGTTCCAGGAAGAGTTAGCAACATGTTGTGAATTGTAAATTGTGATGGAAGTGTATTAGAGGTACAGTACAATTTATCTAATCAAGGTGGTTTGTGTCCACAGACGGAGCTGTCCCAGGCCCTGCAGCAGCTGTCAGAGAAGGCGAGGGCTGCCACAGAGTTCATCCACACCCTAAAGACTTTCTCAGATGAGGTCCACGTGAGTGACTTAATCTGTATTTTACTTTCATTTGTTTGTATTGATAAGCTGTATCTGGATACAAGCTGTTGTATTATATTGAATAGCGTGTGTACCTGTTATTACCATTCTCGTGTAGACGTTTTGTATTGGATTTGTTTTCTCATACTGTAGGTCAGAAATACTCATATATAAAATCTTAAACAAATGCCTCTATATTGAGAATGTGTACATAGTTAACCCAAAATCATGCTTAAAGTTAGATAGAGTGAAATAACTTGCTGCATCATAATGAAACCGCCCATTAACAAAGTCACACTGGCAGGGTAACTGTCGGGAAGTAGAGGGAGTGATAGTGGCCCAGGTGGATGCCCTGGTGGAGGCACTGCAGGGCCGCCGCACTGACCTCATCAACTGGGTCAGGAGACAGCGAGATACCAAGGTCAGTAGCTCCTACAGCTTAGCTCTTACTTTTTATGCTCATGACATTAGCTGCCTGATGAGTAATAATAAAAAATTCTACTGTACTGTATTGTCTTTATTGTGTACGATATTTCCTGCACAGAAGTTAGTTTATCCTCAGGTGATCGTTGACATTAATGAAAGCTGTGATTATTTTTATAGAAACTTCAAGTGTTGACCTTTAAGCAAGAGATGATCATTTGTATTGAGTTCTTCCTTACCACATGCTCTCACTGAACATATAAATGCTGTTACATATAGGAGCCGTGTGGTAAAGGAGGAGGTGAAGGGAAGTGAAGTCTTATAATTCCCTCTAAATCCTCTTTGATACAGGTTCATGCACTGAGAGAACAAGTACAGGACTACACCCACACCCTACAGTCTACCACGGCCACCATCCACTTCTGTATCGAGGCTCTCAAGGAGTCTGACCCAGCATCATTCATGGAGGTGAGAGGCAGGATAATTCTCAATGGTTGCTCAGTCATGGCATTTAAAAATTATATATATTTATTTTATTAATTTGTGTATTTATTTATTTAATATTTTTTTTTACGGAAATGAATACTAAATTTTCTTGGCTAAATCCTGAATATTATGATAGAGGACTGCAGTTAACAAGTCACATAATTAACCCTTTGTTTTATTAAATGTATGAGTTTATCAAGTGGTTCCAATACTTAAGTCAGTGTAGTGAAAGATGGTCTGACTCTTTTGATCATAGGATATAGCCAGGCACCTGTTATTGTCTCTTATTATCAAGTATTACCGTAGGTTTTATGAGATGTGGGTGTTTATGAAGCCAAGTGGGATGGTATTAACCCCTTGTGTATAGGCCCCCATCTGAGCTGAATACAATCATCTCTCGTTAGCCAAATAAAATATCACAAATAACGTCCTGTAGTGAAGGAGTTAATAGCACAGATCTGTAATACAACATGGAAGATTAAAGTGAGAAAAAATGACAGAACATGGATGGAACTTTTTCTAAACACTTGTGGTAAGGTGTTCATGCATTACTCTGTGTTTTTGGGAGGGGATTATTGCCACTTACTGTATTACTGTACAGTATTTAAATGTTAAAGGGATTATGATTCTAACTTGTATAGTATTGAGACTTGCCTTACAGAATTAAAGTAACTACTGTACCATTGATTTACTCATTCATGGCCGTTTTAGGTGGTAATTAATGCCAAACACGTGTAAGGTGACGTATTTCTTCTTGTAGGCATTGTCGTTTTATCTCTTTCTGTGTTCTTTATATATTTATTACACGGCAACTCTAAATGTTACTGTGAATGAAGAAGAGCTCCAAGGTGTTGTGTATTGTGATATGGATTTAGAAATGGGTTCATGAGCTGTTTACTTAATGCTTCTTACCCTCACTTGTACAGTTTATTGAAGGTCTGTCTACATAATGTATTCTACCCTTGTAGTATACTGGAGGTCATAGGAGCTGCAGACAACATTGTAGATGCTGTAGTTATGTTTGTTTTCCTCTACAGTATGTGTTGGGGTGTCCACTTTTTTGGGGGGGGGGAGGGGGATTATCCCACCTGGAGGGCGAAAATATAATAATAATAATAATAATAATAATGATAATTAATAAATATGATAATAATAATAATAATAATAATAATAATAATAATAATAATAATAATGATAATTAATAAATATGATAATAAATAAAATAATAATAATAATAATAATAATAATAATGATAATTAATAAATATGATAATAAATAAAATAATAATAATAATAACACTAATAATAATAACCATAAATAATAAAAAAATAAAAAATAAATCTAGAGTGAGAAACGACATACCCTGTACGTTATGTGTGTTGTGTTGTCAAAGTAAAAGAAACAATTGAGACCCTGCAATTGTGTGTAAATGAGGCAGAAAGTCAGATCATCAACCTGGGACTTGGTCACATTTGGCTTCAGGGTCTACCATTAGACAACACATTATGCTTCCAATATCTTCCCAGGCAGTAGTACCTCCCTGTTTGGTAGCTGCCTACTACCTACTACCTACATACAATACTTGTTTTGGTAATTGGCCAGGTTATGTTCGCTACTACAAGATAAGTTGGTAATTTATTCAATACAGTTTTCTTGTAACTTTAGTTTTGATTTCTGGTAGGTACAGTACACTCTAATACTGTATTATCTTCCTGTATCTATGTCTTGGATCTTATTGTATTTTCAGGTGGAGTTTTGTATTGCTCTTATGTTGTGGATGATTCACACTTGAGAGATGTACAAGATATTTAAGTGGATGTAGTGTATTTACAGCTTGTTCAAAATCACAAAGTTAGTGTCTGGCTGAGAGGTACTTTACTGTCCAATTTATTAGGCCAGTACACAACCAGTCAACCCCCTCCCCCCCCCAATCCAGGAAGTGAGTGTACTGTACCTTCTCTTCATGTGCCAGAAAGAAAGTTTACCCCAAAAAGTCTTCACTCCTTTCCTGTGTTCCTCAGGCTCAGGAAATCTTAGAGGAGCGAGTGTGTACGATGACTCGGGACTGGGAGCAGTCCATGGTGCCGGAGCCTAGAGTCCCTCCTGTCTTCAACCTGACACTGGACGATAAAACTCTCTTAACTGCCATCCAGCAACTCACCTTCATCCAGCTCAAACGTAAGTGATGAGATTTATTTTTTCTCAAATATATAGGAATATGGTCTTCAAAGTTTTTATGATATGGTTTTGGGAACTTACGTGTGTGTGTGTGTGTGTGTGTGTATGTATATGTCTATGGGCCTAAAGATAGGTGTGTTAGGGATATAAGTGACTATATCTCCCGAACACCTGAATTTTTGTACTTGTTTACCTGTAAGTTCATGAGTTCAAAGTTGTTGGCCTGACTCTTATTTTTAGGTTTATAGACATGCTGTAAATGTCCTCTTGACACACACATACAGGTTCCCAAAACAGTGTCATTTACCAACTTGAAACCCCTGATGTGAGGAAGCATTCAGCTGTGGTCATTCCTTAAATATTACAACATCAGAGTCAAGAGTCATGGCTATCTAGTATATACAGTAGAGGTTTTGCTCTTCACTTGAGAATATGAAACTAATGTTGGTAAAATGAGTTACTGTATTGACTGAAGAAAGTATCATCCATAATATTAACAAGTTACAGAGTATTACTAACATATCTCCACTTAGTAACACTTGCTATTGGGTGACTTGACTCCCAGTAGTTCTCTCATAATGGTAGTAGTTGTTTCATGAGTATGTATTTTAGTTATTTGATACAACACAGAGGTTAAAATGGTTTTCCTTCCATGCTATCCTAGGCCCAGTTGTTACTCAGCCACAGTCAGATGGCTCAGGTGGGGAAACGTTACCTTCTTGTTGTTTTGCTTCATTGTGTTGGTGTAGTGTGTGTCCCAACCTGACTCTACCAGTGTCCCTTCAACTAGTTACACCAATCTCTTTAACTTGTACCAGAGAAATAATATTATTGTGTTGAGTTTCTGTACGTACTGTATTTTCTAAAGTTACTGTGCTGGTGTTTATGATACAGTATTAAATTAGACCATATAGTATTCCACTTTATTTTTACTATGTACTGGTATAGTCAGACTGGGAGGTATTCTGCAATATTGAATTGGCATGCTTTATACATGAGATATGTTACAACTTTTATGGCTTATACACATAGTACAGCATCCCATAGTGTTGCCAGTATTGTTTACCTGCACATTGTTATACCCAATACCCTTGGATTTAAGGCAGGAGGTACAGTATATTACAGGACTTTTCTGTTTTATTGGTTTGTCTTTTTCTCTTTCGTTTTTATTATAACTATCTATTCATGTCTTGTGTTATTATTCTCTTTGGTCAATAAAAAATACAAATTGAGGTTTGATTTCATGAGTGACTGCGGCCAGCTGTTGTGTTGTCTCGTAATCTGCCCTGAAACCACAGAACTTTTGGTCCCTCTTATAAGTTTCCACAAAAAATTCTATCCCCACAAATAAGCTGTGTGAATGTCTCCTAACTGTTGTTGTTGTAATGTTATTACTACGCTTCAACAATGAAGGTCTTTAATCGTGTGACAAAGTTAGTAATACACTACTCCAACAATGATAAAAACTAATGAGAGATAGAGCTCCCTGTTCCCTAACTCACTGGTTGATTGAGAGATGACTTTCCCAGCTGCTGCCTTCACTCCATTCATCCAGTTTTGGCTCCCAATCAACTTCAGTCCCACTCCACTTAAATGTGTCATCCAGTCATCATCACTAACCACCAACACAGTGGATGACCAGTTCAGGGTCATGGTAGTGTTTGTTAGGTCCTCATGGTCCTGTACATGCTGGTACAGGTATTCACATGCATGTTTCTGTCTGTACCTTCATCTCCATCCCACCCAAACTTGATAGCAGGATTATGCAGTTAGTATCCTGTATGGAGCCAGTGTCTAGTACTGTAAGGAAAATTTGAAGGTTTCTATTATATACTGTACAGTTAAACATGACAGTATGTGGTTAGACTTTCAATTTGTTGGATTTTTGCATCAGTGAGATGTAATTTATTTCACTGATACAGCTGATGTTTCTTCCCCCTTATCATAACAGCAGATAATAAGCTTCATTAATTTTTGTTGTTGTTTCAAGCATTGTTATCATCCTCTCGCCTTTACAGTCTTGGGAACCTGAATAATTATCATCATTATCATTTTATTGCCATACGTATACTAGTGTATGTTAGCCATGATCACCTGATGGCAGCTCTTGCAGTCTTTCTTGTCAGGTTCTTGTAGAATATGTTATGTGTCATCATAGGCCTGAAAAGAAAGCATATTGTAATGTTGTCCTTCCTGTGCTGTTCCTGGACACACACTTCAAATATTATACACAGATATGTTCTTACAAAGTGGAGGATTTAGTCAGTCAGTGGAGGATTTAGTCAGTCAGTGGAGGATTTAGTCAGTCAGTGTAGGATTTAGTCAGTCAGTGTAGGATTTAGTCAGTCAGTGTAGGATTTAGTCAGTCAGTGGAGGATTTAGTCAGTCAGTGGAGGATTTAGTCAGTCAGTGTAGGATTTAGTCAGTCAGTGGAGGATTTAGTCAGTCAGTGGAGGATTTAGTTAGTAAGTGGAGGATTTAGTCAGTCAGTGGAGGATTTAGTCAGTCAGTGCAGGATTTAGTCAGTCAGTGCAGGATTTAGTCAGTCAGTGTAGGATTTAGTCAGTCAGTGGGGGATTTAGTCAGTCAGTGTAGGATTTAGTCAGTCAGTGTAGGATTTAGTCGGTCATTAATGAAAAGTAGGATTCCGCATCACCATAAGGCATGAAGGGTTTGTGAGCACTAAAGAGCCATTCCTTTATTACTTGTTGGTGGAAGCTTATATAATTGTTTGATGTGATTATACTACAAATGGGGATACAGGTATTACTGTAATTGATTTGATGTTTTGTCAACAGTCACCCAACCATGTTTATTTAGTGAAATGGCCACCCAACTATGTTTATTTAGTAAAATGGCTACCCAATCATGTTTATTTAGTAAGGTGGCCACCCAACCATGTTTATTTAGTAAGATGGCCACCCAATCATGTTTATTTAGTAAGGTGGCCACCCAATCATGTTTATTTAGTAAGATGGCCACCCAATCATATTTATTTAGTAAGGTGGCCACCCAATCATGTTTATTTAGTAAGGTGGCCACCCAATCATGTTTATTTAGTAAGATGGCCACCCAATCATGTTTATTTAGTAAGGTGGCCACCCAACATGTTTATTTAGTAAGATGGCCACCCGATCATGTTTATTTAGTAAGGTGGCCACCCAATCATGTTTATTTAGTAAGGTGGCCACCCAATCATGTTTATTTAGTAAGGTGGCCACCCAATCATGTTTATTTAGTAAGGTAGCCACCCAATCATGTTTATTTAGTAAGGTGGCCACCCGATCATGTTCATTTAGTAAGGTAACACTTTTAATTTGGGTAGGTCACCTTATATACCCAGACCCCATAACACTTTACAGAAGAAATGATGTGTGATGCTTCTCTTGGTGTGTGTGCTTGTAGGTAGAGCTGCACACATCATGGTTCTCAAGTGTTTGTGAGTTGTCAGACATAAAGGAACAAGTGATGGGTGCTCTACAGGCCTTTACACCCTTAGTTATGTAGTAATGCGGTAAGCAGACCTGAGGAGCTTGTGTGACAGTATTAGATTAATTACTTGAAAGGCTAGTGGGATGATGGCTTAAGTTGTGTGACAATATTAAGTTAATTACTTGGATGGCTAGTGTGATGGTGGCTGTGTATTAAATCGTATTGGTTGAAGTGATCTTTTTTTTAATGTGGATAACTTTATTTGAAAATTATTTGATGATATTTTAATAAACTACCTGATAGCTTTAGTGCAGTGGGTGTGGCTATGATTATAAGCTTATGATTGATTGTACTGTATTGAGTTTTTCTTCTAAGGTAATTACAGTGTTTTTTCTCTCCTATTAAATTGATATGTAGGTCACAAACGTACATGGAATACTGAAATACCGTACTATACTTTAATAAGAGATGTTATGAGACAGTCTCCCCAAAAGCCCAGGTAGTTTTTGTTGATAACTTGCGTTTTTGCAGCTCCCGGCACCCCGTCCATGATCCCAGAGGAGTGTAGTGCCGAGAACAACAGTGTGACCATCGCCTGGGCTCCTCACCCCACCTCCTGTGTCACCGGCTACACCCTGGAGATAGATGATGGCTCCAATGGGCCCTTCAGGGTGAGTTAGATTGTGTCTGTGTTACCTGTCTGTCTCCCATCATACCTCCTCCTCTCCTTCTGTGGGATGGGTCAAGAATGGTTGGAAATAATCTGGTACAAAAAGTGTAGAAAGCCAAACTAGTACAGGAGGTGGGAACATCACACGTGTTTCTTCATATCCTGAACGTGAAGCCAAAACATACAGACAGTAGTGAGTTAAGGAGTGGATGAGGTGATGTGCTACAGTACAGTACTTGTATCAAAGGCAGAAGGTACTACATTATGTACAGTGCCAGAGAATAGACACTATTGTATTAATAAAACACCAGAAAAAAAGCCTTTCAATTAAAGGCATCACATTAGGTTTCTAAAGTTTTAGTATTTAATATTTGAAACTGGTTAGTTGTATTAATCCATTTTGGGTAACTGTTACCTTACAGTACAGTATACTGTACATAGTTTGCCAAAATCAACAATATTTAGAATGAATGTAACACCTGAATCCAAAAGGTACTCTATTAGTATAGTTTATAAGAAACTACTATGTCAGTAGACCTAAAGAAACCACAGGGTAATACAACACCCAACACACCAGCTGCTACTGAATTAATTTCAATATTCAGTAGACCTAAAGTTATTGAGTTAATACAACAGATTCAGTACTGTACTACAGTATTGTATTAATACTGCATGTATAACACACCAGGTGCTATTGCATTAATACACAACCCAACTGATCGGTCTACTTTATTACTACAACATCCAGCAGACCATATAATATTGTCTGTATAGTAGCTCCCAAAGACATTTTAGTGAGGTAATCTAGTAATGTTCCAACAGTGTAGGAAAGTACAATGTACATAGAGTGCATAAACAATACCATAATTGTGTTAGTCTGGTTTTCCTGCATCATCCACATGGAAACAAAGAGCTGGACCAGATGGATGTGTATTATGATGCCACATTGGTACTATCCACCAGCAAGACAACACCCTTTTAATTTCAATGATTATTATGTTGCTTGTAACTGTGAACCCAGAGTTGAGTGACCAATAAAAGTTGACTTGGAAGTAAATACCTTGTGTGCTTCCATCAGTGTTATGTTTGCAACTGATGATCCAGGTACAGTAATTATTTTGGCATTAGGCATCAGGTCATTATAGAGGGAACCACTTTGTTGTGACACATCAGATGCTGTTGTCATGTGTCAGCAGCAAAGGTGTACAGTACCTGTAATTGTATTCTCTTAATCATCCAACAGACTGGATGTTATTGAATTAATACAACTTAGACAAATCAGAGGCTATTGTATAACTAAACATTAAGATACCTAATACTATATTAATACAACATAGGCTAGTGTATTAATACAACATGCAGGAGACCAGAGACTAGTGTATTAATACAACATGCAGGAGACCAGAGGCTAGTGTATTAATACAACATGCAGGAGACCAGAGACTAGTGTATTAATACAACATGCAGGAGACCAGAGACTAGTGTATTAATACAACATGCAGGAGACCAGAGGCTAGTGTATTAATACAACATGCAGGAGACCAGAGGCTAGTGTATTAATACAACATGCAGGAGACCAGAGGCTAGTGTATTAATACAACATGCAGGAGATCAGAGGCTAGTGTATTAATACAACATGCAGGAGATCAGAAGCTACTGTATTAATACAACATGCAGGAGATCAGAGGCTAGTGTATTAATACAGTACAGTACATCATATAAGTGGAGTATACAAGAGGAGGAACATTATTTTAGATCCCTACAGAGGAGTTGTGTATGAAGGTGGAAGAACAAATGGATTCGAGTCCCCCCTGTTGAGTGTTCTTCATGGATAGTCACTCAGTTTATTATGTACAGTCACCTGCATCTTATACATGGTACAGTGGCTGGTGTGTTTTGTGAGTAGTGGCAATTGTGGAATGCTTCTAGCTTCTTTATTCTGACTATTATTGTGTGGTTTCTTAGGAGCCATTCTGGGAGTTTTAATACAATGTAAACAAACACAGTTGCCACATCTCACAAAACATGCCAGCCACTGTGCCTTGATGGCTCATTCTATTTATTTTTATTTTTTACTGTTTTTAGGAAGTGTACACAGGAGGGGAGACAGTTTGCACCATCGATGGTTTGCACTTCAACTCCATCTACCGAGCCAGAGTGCGAGCCTTCAACAACACAGGGAATTCCCCCTTCTGTGAACCATTGTGTTTGCAGACAGCTGAAGGTAAAAGGATTGTATTGTATTGGGTTCTGTTTTTGTGTTGGATATTACCGCATGCTGGTGGTAAGGATGATACTACAGTGTTTAAAGGGAGGTAATGAAAGGAAAAACAGATTTTGAAAGTATTTTATTTAGTTAAGAAACATAGAATACCATTGCAGATGAAATAATTTTAGATGTGAAAATGAGAGGTGATGAAGCCATACTAATTATGGCTTTGTATAAGAAACATTGTGATGGTAGTGAATAGATTAGGTTGTTAAGCTTCACTAATGTCAAACAGAGCCACAGTACAGTACACTGTGTTTACTCTGGTGATGATTCTCTTCACAGTTTCCTCTCATCTGTGAGTCTGTGTCTCTCTTCTCACTGTAGATCTTAACTCCATAGTCATTTAATATATGAATTAAGGGTTGGCCAATTTAAACCAATAGATTAAACCATAAAAAAATTAACTCTGCTCTCATTCTTGGTTTTTAATAAATTTGTCTTGGTTTTTATTACTTACAGATGTTTTTAATGATTTATAGTAGATTTGGAAAAGCCTATGATAGGGTGAAGAGAAAAGCATTGTGGGAGGCATTACAAGTGTATGGGGTGGGAGGAAGGCTATTAAAGGCAGTAAAAGCATTCTATGAGAACAGCTGGGTAACAATAATAGTAAATGGGAATGAAAGTGAAACATTTGAAATATATATGGGTGTTATGTCCCTGTGGTTGTGAACTATTATACACTGGTGAAAGTGGTGATAATAAGCTTTCTTACATGGCTGAATAAATGGGAGCATAGTTGCCACTTTCCAATATAACTGGTCACTGCATCTGTGTATGGTTGGGCTCTGATTCTAAAGTGTTCAGATCACATATTATATGGGTTCAGGGGAGCCAAGTTGCCACTGCCTATCTCTCCCCCCCCCCCTCCCTCCCTCCCTCCCTCCCCAACAGTACCTTTTCACAGTGATGTATTGAGATGGAAAAGAGTATAAATGATTGTTAAATCATCCTGAACATAATGTTTAAAATTAATAGCATATTAAAGAGTTATAAAAAGGACTTAAAAATACTTAAAACTTATTAAAACAAACATAATAGCATTAAAAAGATAATTATAATTGAGCCAATGTTTCTTAATAAACCAGTGGGTTTTGCCAACCCTGCTGTGCCCATATGTTATAAATCACTTTTATATACATTTTCTTGCAAATATAAACTATCATGACTAAATAAAGACGTTAGTTTTCACTTTCCAAACAAATGTCGTTTGACATAAAAAATACGCCCGACCTAATACTGTACAGTACTGTACCTTGATTTTCGGCACTTGGGGTCATACCATGGATTTTGTTCAAGTTTCATACAAAGGCACAACTTTACATGATGATTAAAAGTCTGGTTTCACAAATTAATTAATTCGACAGTAATTAGTGTTAATTAATGACCTTTGAAATAATTATAGATACTAATTAGAATACAGTGAGTTTTGCTATAACGCGTGTTTTGACAACGCGAATTGGCTGTAACGCGATTTATGAATAGAGGAACGATGTTTGTATAACGCGAACGCTTGTTTGCTGAAACGCGATTTTTGCTTACTATTTCTCCAATTTTGTGGTATTAACTGTGAATATGGTAAAGAAGAATATCTCCAAGAAGCGTTCTGGTGATCGCATTCCCGGTGATGATCGTAAAGGAAAGGCTATAACACTTGAAGAGAAGCTCGATGTTATCAACCTCAAAATCACCCTTCTCCCCCATCAAGTTATATTCATATTTCTTCACAGTAAAGTGTTACGTTTACTGTATGATTTAATTATTAGATATGAATGTAACATTTATTCAGACTGTGCTAACCTTTGTGTTAGGCTAACAACTAAAATTTTTTCGATTTCGAGTAGTAATCTGCACCTAACCCTATTTTCTCCATATGCCCTGTTATTTCTATTACGCGAATTTCTATAACACAATGTTTTACAAGAACACAACTATCGCGTTATAGCAGAACTGACTGTACTGTACTGTACAGGTTGTACCTCTCTAGTCCGGCAACCTCGGGACCTGACTGGTGCCAGACCATGGAAATTTCCGGACCTTGGAAATTCACCCTTTTCCTGGATAGTTAGTGACTTGTGCATACACTTGGAAGCACTAGCACCACTTTCACTGCTTCGTGGTCTCTCTGAAGACATATTGAAGGGTTAAATGTTGTACAGTAGGTTCTCAAACTTCGCAAATTTTTAATTCAACGTTTTTTATTTGGACACAAAAAAAAACACTGCACAATTTAAAATTTCGACGAGTTTTAGCGGCCTGCCAACTTTCAGACGTGCACAATTGTGTAAATAGCGTCATTTCTCTATGTACAAAACATTCATTATTGTTTATTACTGAATGTCTTTTTGATTGAATTAATGTTTATGTGTGCAAAATGAACAATACAATTCATTAATAATACGTAAAATATTAAAACACACGAGGAGACGACACAGCATTGTTTTCGTTGTTTACAAAACCAGTGACTGACTGGTTCTACATATAAAACTGAAGAAAATAAGACCCTGGTTGTAGCTGTAAAAAAATTAATATGATTGTTTTAAATAATGTTATTTAATGTTAATAAATTGAACAATGGAAGTAGCTAACCATTAATGGTAAAAAAAAAAGAGAGATCACATATGTAAGTGCACACATGTGAAAACATATCGTCATTACTCTACATAAGAATATGAAAGCAACACTTATTTACTGTTCATATATATTTTAATTAATGTTTCTGAATTTAAAACAAAAATTCTACCCACCAGTGGTGGTAAAGTTGAAAACATAAAGACAGCCAATGTTGTTGTGTGTGTTTTTACTCGGATGACGAAGTTGCCAAGTCATCAGGTTCAACTCTAGCTAAAGCTGTAGAACAGAAGAACTTTTCTGTGTTGTTTTAAGTTTTTATTTAACTTTATCTGTGTTATTTTTGTTGGTTTATTAGGATGTTGCTTTATTACAGGTAGTAATTCGCCAAAAAAGTAGGGTAAATAAGGCCAAATTTAACCAAACATCGAAAGTACCAGACTCAAATTAATTTTCTCCATGGGCAAACTAAAATCGTTCCGAACCACGAGAGTTTCCGGACCACAGAATGCCGGACTAGAGAGGTACAACCTGTATTTACAATAATAAATCAATTATGCTGTGCCTTTACTTCACATGAAATGTTATACTGTATTGTAATGTGTTATTTAGTTTGGAGATATTTCATGTGACTTAAAATGATATGTGCATAAGACAATTAAAACAATATGAATATACAGTAGTTTGTTAAGGCTTCTTCATGTGCCTTGTAAATTACGAGGTCTGTCCGGAAAGTATCCAGCCATTTACTATTAAAAAAAATATTCCTTACCTAGGACAATGGCGCCTTAGTCCCCTTCAAAGTACTCCCCTTGGGACCTCACACACTTCTCTCAGCGTCCCTTCCACTTTTCAAAACAGTCTGCAAAATCCTTTTTCGGGATCTCCATCAGCTGTTGCGTTGCATTCTCCTTAATCTCGTCCACGGTCTGACATCTCCTCCCTTTCAACGGCGATTTTAGCTTTGAGAAAAGCCAGAAGTCGCAGGGAGCCAAATCTGGGCTGTCGGGGGCTGAGAGACCTGGGTGATGCGATGTTTTGCCAAAAAACCTGCACGAGACGTGACGAATGGGCAGGCGCTTTGTCATGATGAAGCTGCCAGTCACCACTTGCCCACAGCTGTGGCCGTTTCTTCTTACCGCATCCCTCAGCCGGCGAAAAACTTCGATGTAGTACTCCTTCGTTATTGTTTGGCCTGGACGAGATTAAGGAGAATGCGACGAGGCAGCTGATGGAGGTCCCGAAAAAGGACTTTGCAGACTGTTTTGAAAAGTGGAAGGGACGCTGGGAGAAGTGTGTGAGGTCCCAAGGGAAGTACCTTGAAGGGGACGAAGGCATCATTGTCCTAGGTAAGCAGTATTTTTTTTAATAGCAAATGGCTGGATACTTTCCGGACAGACCTCGTATATGAATTGTCAGAAATCAGCAAGGTAGTCTTTTCATGTGATATGTTGTGCAACACTGTACTGTATATCTCAGATGGAATATTGATAGGTAATTTTTCTCCTTGTACACTAGGCCTTGCACAAACAGCAATAAAATGAGTACACCATCAGGTGTGCTTGCTGAAGGAACAAGCCTACAGTGGACTAGAGTCCCGCCAAAGAGGTGGGGGCAACTCACTAGCTGCTGATACTGTACTAAGAATTCAGGGGATCAACACCTGTCTGGCCACCCTGCATCAAGCAGAAGGCTTGTAGTATACATGGGAAAAAATATTTCATGGAAATGTAATAATAATCACAAATATTGGATTTTTAAGGTATATTGTATGGATTTCAAAAGGTGTCAGCTACGTACTATACTGTATGTATATGGCTGACCTGTTTTTTATTTTTTACAGTTAAACAGTATAAAAATTTTTTCTTGCAGTTGCTTGGTTCACCTTAGAGTCCAACCACCTCGACCACACACTGTCTGAAAATGGCTTCACTATCTCTTGTGACTCTTATGAGCACCGAGTGGCTCTTGGAAGTGTTGGCTTCTCCAGGGGCGTCCACTACTGGGAGTTCAAGATTGAAAAATATGATGGAAATGCTGACATTGCTTTTGGACTGTCAAGAGTTGATATCTGCAAGGAGATGATACTTGGTAAGTACTGTTCAGTTGTGTCGAATACCTTGTACTGAAGTGTTTATTGCACACTCTTACTATTAGTGTAGTGAGGACTATCAGTAATGTGTGGTATGAATAGAACTCATCATTCATTGGTGTTTACAAGTGTTAGATTTTTACACATGTTGTACTAAGAATAACTTTGATGAATAATATAAACAACATGGAAAAAAATAACCAATGTACTGTACCTGGGTAAACCAAATTTTGTGCTCAGTGAGAAAGACTTTTGCAGGTAAATGTGGAGGCAGTTGGAGCATGTACATTGACAGCGAGCGATCTTGGCTGATGCACGGCGGAGAACACTTCAACCGGTCCACTGGAGGGGTGCGGACAGGGGACACTGTAGGACTGTTGCTCAATCTACCTGAAAAGACACTTAGCTTCTATGTTAATGGGGAGTTACAGGTAAGTTTTGTAGGTTTTTTCCACACACACACACACACACACACACACACACACACACACACACTACTACTACTACTACTACTACTACTACTACTACTTCTACTACTACTACTACTACTTTGTTGTCACTCGGAATTGAGTATGACGATCATCCAGTTATGAAACAATAATATGAGTTATTCAGGATGTCACCTTCGTTGGTGAGGTTTGAGGTGACTAGAGAGACCGATATGGGACCTGCAGAGTTGTTCACAGATGTTGCTCATGTGGAGGGCTACATCTAGTGCGGGAGGGGAGGCGGCAACATATTTCCGGCGCTGGCGCTTGTCTGCCTGGGTATGCAGTTGGGCTAACTCGAAAGTAATGACACTTCATGTGGTGCTCCTCCAAGCGTTATGGTGTGGAATAATAGTCTCCCAGGTGAGGGGGTCGATTTTATACTTTTTCAGGTTTGTTTTAAGACTATCCTTATACCTTTTCAGTTGCGCGTCAGCTTTACGTTTACCATTCGTTAGGAGACTGTAAAGTAGCTGCTTTGGCAGTCTACTGTCGTTTATGAGAGTAACATGGCGAGTCCAATGTAGTTGTTCATGGATAATGGTAGCCGCGATGCTCTTACAGTTGGTGTCAGCGAGAATACTGGCATTTGTTCTCTTGTCTTCCCAGCGAACTCGGGGGATGGAACGTAGACTACATTGGTGAAAGTTTTCAAGTGCTTTGAGGTGCCTCCTGTATGTGACCCATGTCTCACTGCCATATAGTGGGGTAGGGAGGACCACTGCTTGATATACGTGTAACTTTGTAGATAATTTCAGCTCCCTACAGCTGAAGACACGGGTACGGATTCTGCCAAAGGCTTGAGATACACATCTGATCTGATGCTGAATCTCTTCATTGTTGTCCATGGTGGTGGACAGGTGGGAGCCAAGGTACTGGAATGGGTAGCATTAGAGAGGGTAGTACCATTAAGCTGCATGGATGGTGGTGTGGCTGAACCAGGGGCAGGCTGAAAGAGAATCTGAGTCTTAAGTGCATTCATCTCAGGGCTGAAGTGTGCATACGCATCTGCGTAGGTATTCAGGATCTTCTGTAGGTTTTGTTCAGTGTGAGCGACTAGTGTGAGGTTATCTGCGTACTGAAGTTCAGTGATGGACTCAGCTGACAACTTTGTTCCTGCCTGGAGTTGTCTTATGTTGAAAAGTCCTTTCATGGTACTTGATGTCCACCCCGCCGGCTAAATTGGCACTGGCACGAGTAAGGAAGGCAGCCAAGACCATAGAAGAGAGAGTTGGTGCCACTACACATTCTTGTTTTACCCCCATTTGGGTGGGGTAGAACTCAGACTGGGTGCCATTGTGCAGGACACTGCCGTTCATGCCATCACGGAGTTGCCTCACAATGGTGATGAATTTTGGTGGGCAGCCAAACAGTTGAGGGTCCGCCAGAGGGCTTCCCTGTTGACCGAGTCGAAGGCCTTGGTAAGGTCGATGAAGGCCATGTACAGGTCACGACTCTGTTCTCTGCACTTTTCCTGTGTCTGGCAGGCAGCAAAGATCATGTCAGTGGTGCCACTTGATGGTCTAAAGCCACATTGAGATGCTGGGTGGAAGTTTTCTGCCTCTGGAAGAAGTCTGCTTAGGAGGACTCGGACAATAATCTTGCCAGCTACGGAGAGCAGTAAGATCCCACGGTAGTTGCCACAATCTGACCGGTCTCCCTTATTCTTATAAATATTGACGATGGAGGCATCTTTAATAGCTTGGGGGATTTCCGCCTTTTCCCATATATTCTCCAGGAGAGAGTGGAGACGGCTGGTAAGCAGAGGTCCTCCTGCTTTATACACTTCAGCTGGGATTCCATCAGGCCCTGTGGCTTTGTTATATTTCATCTGCTTGATGGCAGTAGCTACCTCTTCCAGGGATGGAGGATAGCTGAGATGGGTCAGCTCTGGGTGTTGAGGGACCTCCTGGGTGTTTTGGGGGCATAGGGGTTTGATGATGAGAAGTATGATAAGCTGGATGATGGCTGTGCGTGATTTGATTTTATGTGAGGCAGGAGCACAAGCTGCAACCTCACATCTTGCCTCTCCCTTTTCCTGATCCAATGGTGCAAGTAGTTGCAATGACTATGGAGAGAGAGAGAGAGAGAGAGAGTTGCAATGGACTGCCGATAGCCTAGCTTGTTGGGTTTCGCCTTAGTAGTCTGTCTATCATGCATTGCCTTCATCCACTGGTATAGTCGTAGGGTTCCTATGGTGGTCACCTCTTCCGCTTATGCCGCCGTTGGGGTCTTATTGGAGCTCTGTAAACATGTCTGCATGATGCGGGGCTCCACTGCAGATTTTTCGTTTGGAGTTTACTCCCATAGCCTTATACCTACCAAGTTTAGTCTGCAAGGCAGCGGGACAGTGTTTGGTAGGTGCCAGGGAGTGTCCACATGTCATTGGGCCTATGCATTGTCCCTCTGGGGCCCACTGCTGCTCTTAGATCCCCTACTGGTCTAGCCTGGGCCCACGAGGCACCCAGTTCCGTGTGTTGCCACTGGAGTCTTGAAGGTGAAGAGGCTGTGTACTGATAGGGGAAGACTTACGCAAGGTTGCTTCCCTTTTCACCACGAGGGCTAGCCAGCGGCGGTAGCTGAAAGCGAGAGGAAGCTAGCAGTGCTCACACACACACACACACACACACACTATAATAATTTGTATGTTCAATTCATGTTCCTTCTTTTATCAGTAATGAAAGCTTTTGTTAAATGACCCACGTCTTTGTATGTAATAAGTCATTTTTGTCCAATGTATATTTTCAGCCTTCAGGCTGCCGACTTTTTCAATAAACCATTAATTATTATTATTATTATTATTACACAGAGATACCCACGTTAACCTGTCATTGAAATGTAGGAGAAAAGTCACTCACATAAGTTATAAAAAAAAGTCACATTATACAACTAGGGACCATTATTCTGTAGAAAAAGATGATAAGTTCATTTTATAGTTAGAATATGCATCCCAACCCAAACTAACTTAAGTTGTTAATGGCATTTAAATAAATTGTGACTTTTCCTAGTCAAAATTTTGACTATTTTCCTGTGACTTTAATTTTATTAGAGAAATGGAAAGTGAACAGAAAAGTGATTTCATATCCTGTATCCATATTGTATAGTTTAGATCCTGTGTGTGTGTAATAATAATAATAATAATAATAATAATAATAATAATAATAATAATAATAATTAACAGTTTATTGAAAGAGCATGGCAGCTGGAAGGCTGAAAATATAGTTACATAATTGGGGAATGGGTCACTTGATTTACAAATAATATACAAGTAACATAAGTGATACAAATATGATATATATAATAATTAGGTGGGGAGAAGCTCAAAGTACAGGGTATTTCAACATAGTGACAGTGCAGAAACTAAGAGCGAATGGGATTGAACAAACTGGTTGATTACAAGTTATTGATAATTTTTTACAATGGTTGGGACTGGGCTGTTCTTATTGCGATCAGTTCGTGCACGTATGGGCTGGATGCGGTTGTGGTGTCGAACAGCAATTCTTGGACGAGGGATCTCGGGTGGTAGTAGGAGCCGGTGTTGAGGATGTGTGTGTGTATACAGTGAATTTGATGAAGGAAATTTAGCAAGAAGTACGGTCACTCTAGGGCATTATATACCTGTACTATATGCTATAAAAACACTCATAATTACTGTATCTGTGTAAATATCAGACGTGACCCATAAATACTTCATCATTTGTTTACTGCAAAGCCTGGGGATATTTTCGTTCAGTATAACAGAAGTACAAGTTATTTTAGGAGAAAGTTGTGTTAAACTCTTGTCTGCAGTGTCTCCTCTGAGCTGACGAAAATCATCTGGCATTAGCCGAATAAAATATGAAAGTGATGTCGCTGTAGTGAAGGTGTTAAAGGGATGGATTTAAAGTGTTCTGTGATTAAATACAATGAAATTAATAACCTAAGATGATGGCTTATATGTAGAGTTTTCTGTAGGGGAATCAGAGTCGAAAACTATGAACACTTGCTCACTGATCAAACACGTCAACACAACCATGACATTTATGAGAGCTAACCAGTGAACTACAGTTGTACCCCACTTAACGCGGTCAATTGAACCCAGAGGGTCCCGCGTTAAGTGAAATCCGCGTTAAGTGAACAACAGAACATATGGGATTAATTCCAATAGAAACCAGCCCGACCCCCAAACTCCACTTTTTGACGACACATAACTATGTTGTAGTAAAAATTCTATCTTAACTTTATGATGGTATGAAAAAACAAGTAATATAGAAGAGGTTAGGTTTGGAAAGATAAAGGTTAACATAGGAAAAATAAAGAATAGGTTAAAAAACGAAAAATATTGTGGAACACTTACGGTAGTAGAAGAGATGGGTCGGCATACGGGGATGGAGGCTGGTTCCGAGGCAGAGGGCAGATTACTGGCCCTCAGGTGAATCACCATTACTAGGTGAATCAGCATCACTGTCACTTACAGTTGTCAGGGCTTCCCTGACAAATCCCTCAAAGTCAACTTCACTTTCACTATCACTGGCTTGGGCTGGCTGTGGTGGGTTGCGGGCGAAGAACTCGGTTATGCTTTGCTGACGGCTGGCTTTGATGTTGTCATGATACACCGTGATGTACGGCTCCATAGCCTGCACCAGTCGGGTATGGAAGACTTCATAGCGTTCATCGTCATTGTCGCGGGAAAGGACGGACTTAATTTTTTCTGCAAACTCTATGGCACACTTAATATCACTATGACTTAAACTAGGTTCTTCGGAGAATGACGCACCTTCTTCCTCCTCTTCACTGGCGTGTTCTTCTTCCAACATCTCGTCGGCAGTCACTTCAGGATCTTTGATCACCTCCAGGATGTCTTCGTTGGTGGTCTCGGAGAAGCCTTCAGCTGTAATATTGAGCGCAGCTTCTCTGGCAAGGTCCACTGCTACTGCAACAGTCTGAACCTGACCAGTCACAGGTTCACTCCTCCTCTCACCTGGTATGCCATGCAACACATGTCTCCATGCGTGACGAATCGTAGCAATAGTCAGCAGATCCCATGCCTCCACCAAGAAGTCTACAGCTTGTTTAACGTTAAACTTCTTCCAAAATTGTTTGACGAGAAGTTCTTGAGTCACCGCCTCTTGTTCCTTGTCCTCGTCGCTTTTGCTCTCGCTGTCGGTGTCACCCAGCTTACGCAACTCATCCTTGGTGTTGGTAGAGTCGTTCAGGAGCTTGAACTTCTTTGCAGAGTACGCAGCTTTCACATTGCAGATCAACTCCTGGTCCATGGGCTGGATTAATGACGTAGTGTTGGGAGGAAGGAAGACCACTTTTACGTTGGGGTGACGATCCATAAGTAGGGGCGAGTGTCCAGGTGCGTTGTCAAGGAGCAACAAAATATTGAATGGAACATTCTGTTGCTCGCAGAATTTCTTCACGTCGGGAACAAAACAGTTGTCAAACCAGAAGAGGGACAGAGAAGAGGACATCCACGCCTTACGTGCGGTTAGCCAGTGGACATTAAGCTTGTTCATGTCCATATTCTTGTAGGCGTGCGGCTTGCGGGCTGTGTGAATCACCGATAACTTTGGTTTACAGGTACCGGAGGCATTGGTGGTAAACAGGACGGTGATGCGTTCCTTCTGCAACTTCCGACCCCTTACCTTGCTGGCAGACTGGACAACGAAGGTCTTGGAAGGTAACTTTTTCCAGAAAAGACCAGATTCGTCCATGTTAAACACCTGGTCGTCGGTGTACTGTCCTTCCTCCATAATCTCACGTAAGAACGGAGGAAAATCTCTAGCCGCCACACGGTCAGCACTCGCTTCCTCACCACCAATGTTGATGTTGGTGATCTTGTTCCTCTTCTTAAACCTATGCAGCCAACCAGAGGAAGCATTGAAGGGTTTGGGCTCTGCAATTCCCAGCTTACGTGACACTGCTGCGTATAGCTCACGTGCGTACTCCTGCACTGAGCGCGTGTCCACCGCCATGTTGCGTCGCGCCTGACGCACCAAATAACTCACCAGCAAATTTTCCACTTTTGCCAGCACCCTGTTCTGGCAATACCTGATAGATGAAGCACCTGCAGACTTTGTGATTTTCATGTGCTCTTTGATCTTGGCTGCATCCTTCTTGATCGTACGAATCGTAGATTCGTTGACGCCATGCTGGCGCGCGAGATCAACTTGCCGTCTTCCTTTCTCCAAATCTTGAACAATTTGGTACTTCACCTCGTAGCTTAATGAACGTCGTATCTTCTTTGGCTTAGTGCCGCTGGGTCCAGGTAAGGAAAGGTCTCTCTCTGGGGGCGGTGGTGGTCCGGCGGAAGCCATTTTACGGAACAATGGATGCGCGTTTACACGGTGTGGCCTTGAGGGATGAAACTGCCGCAGCTAGGTCAAGCATCGTCTCTCTCCTCCCTCCCTCCCCCTCCCCGGGGTGGTCACGTCATAATACTTTAAGCCAATTACAGCTAGCAGCAGAGGGGGGTAGGGATGCATGGCCAATCACACAGTCCGATACGTCATATGACGTCAGTGATAACGCAACAAAGACACACACTGCGCAACCTTACCGCGCCGCTTGCCCAAGCGGAGGGAGGAGGAGGGAGAGGCAGGCAGGCGGGCGGGCAGGCGGGTGGCGCGTGGCGCGTGGGCAAAATCTAAAAATAGCGTCTCGAGCCGGACACTCACCGCGTATATGATGAAAAATTCCGCGTTAAGTGAAAGTTCAGCTCTGGCGAGGCACCGCGTATATGATAAAACGCGTTAAGTGAAACCGCGTTAGGCGGGGTAATACTGTAGTCTATAGACTGGATTCTACTAGTGCTTAGTATAATAGTACAGTTGTTAGATGACTGCTGTACTGTAGGGTGTTAGATGACACCCGGGGCCTGGTGTATTGTAGGGTGTTAGATGACAGCCGGGGCCTGGCGTACTGTAGGTTGTTAGAGGACTGGTGGGGCCTGGTGTACTGTAGGGTGTTAGATGACAGCCGGGGCCTGGCGTACTGTAGGTTGTTAGAGGACTGGTGGGGCCTGGTGTACTGTAGGGTGTTGAGGGACTGCTGGGGCCCTGGCGTACTGTAGGTTGTTAGAGGGACTGCTGGGGCCTGGTGTACTGAGGGTGTTAGAGGACTGAGGTGGGGCCTGGTGTACTGTAGGGTGTTAGAGACTGGTGGGGCCTGGTGTACTGTAGGTTGTTCGAGGACTGGTGGGGCCTGGTGTGCAGGGTGAAGGGACCACTGGAGCCTGGTGTACTGTAGGGTGTTAGAGACTGGTGGGGCCTGGTGTACTGTAGGTTGTTCGAGGACTGGTGGGGCCCTGGTGTGTGCTGGGTGTTAGAGGGACTGGTGGGGCCTGCTGTACTGTAGGGTGTTAGAGGACTGCTGGGGCCTGGTGTACTGTAGGGTGTTAGATGAGTGCCAGGGCCTGGTGTACTGTAGGGTATTAGATGACTGGTGGGGCCTGCTGTACTGTAGGGTGTTAGAGGACTGCTGGGGCCTGGTGTACTGTAGGGTGTTAGATGAGTGCCAGGGCCTGGTGTACTGTAGGGTATTAGATGACTGGTGGGGCCTGCTGTACTGTAGGGTGTTAGAGGATTGGTGGGGCCTGGTGTACTGTAGGTTGTTAGATGAGTGCCGGGGCCTGGTGTACTGTAGGGTGTTAGAGGACTGGTGGGGCCTGGTGTACTGTAGGTGTGCTTGTCTTGTCGATGAAACCCAATTCTGCTGACATTTTAGTGGCAAATAACTGCAGCTACAGTATGTCATACAGCTCTTGTAATTCAAGAAGTATAAAAACAAAGATGGCTGATCCACCCCCAGGTGGTGCCCAGAATGCATTGTGGTAAACAAAGAATGATGTAATTATGCTTAGACCTTATTGTGTAATGATTACTTGGCAATCACAGAAATTATGCACCAACAGGGAACTAGAAAATATTGAGTTGTGTTTATATTGTCAGTAGGGATGTCTCTCTGGATAATATGGTTTTTGTATAATTTAAGTGGTGCTTTGATCTTCAGTATAGAAAAGAGCCCTTGGAATTTGGACACAAGTGAAGCCTACCAGAGGTTCGGGGGTGTTAATTACCGACTACCCTTTAGCTCTAGTTCTTAAAGGTAGCAGAGATTGGTCAAGCTTTGGTCATATTTTGTAATTATTATTTTTTTTCTTTACAGGGACATTTATCTCTGACTGGAGTAAGTGGAGTTCTGTATCCAGCCATTAGCTTAAATAGAAGTGTGGTCCTGACTGTGCAGACTGGCCTAAAACCTCCCAAGCACTACCTGGGTGTACCTCCTGATGCTGAGACATAGATGCAACATTCATACTATTATTAATATCTTTATTATTGTCTTATCTCCAATCTGATAGTTTAATTTGTTGTGTGAATTTTGTTACCCAAATCCAGTCATGTTTAATACATATGGATAAAATATATATATATTAACACAGTACTAGAAATTTTCCATTGTACTTTAAGTTGATTAGATGATTTAAAATTTGTGTTTACTATCCATAAAGTAATAAGTTGCAGATTCTGATTAGATATAAGCATTCCTTTAGAGGACTACATTCTTGTCCATAATAATAATGTTTTACTGGTATTGTGAGCAGCAGTACCTTTAATACTGTCAGGAACATTGTGCCTCTTTGTTGCACACAAGTACACACTTTTCTTTTATGATTGTATACAATAATTTTTTTAAGTGTTTTCCATGTGATAGTATATAAGTGACCAAAAAATTACCTATATGAGTTGTGGATCTCCTGATGTGTCTCAAGTTTATTTCATGCAGGTGTATTTCCCAAGAGTACTTATTACCTGTGGGAAATTATGTAACAGATGGATAAATTACTGGCATATCTTTGTATATATTGTATATAACTTGAAAAGGCATTGCCACTGAACTGGCTACAAATATTACATTAACAATTCTGCTATTTTCTAGTCCAACAAGCTTGAGAATCATAATGAGGTTTTGTATGAATGTGACACTATCTGGAATATATATATATATATATATATATATATATATATATATATATATATATATATATATATATATATATATATATATATATATATATATATATATATATATATATATATATATATATATTGTGTGTGCTAATATTATGCTTGGCTATTTGCATTTAACTAGTCTTAAATTGTCAATAGGTCCCTCTGATATGGGACTTAACCAGTGACAACCCTCCATCATGAAGCGTATTGCAACCCTGTACTGTATACTGTATCAGTACAAAGATGGAAACTAATTACTATAGACCACACCTCATTATTTCAAAGACTACTAAACTTGCCTTATATTGTACCAAGAAACAGAGCTTGATTTAATGTTAGAATTTTTTTTGTATATTTTATAACGATTTCCATTTAGGGATGGCATTTAATTTTATGGCTTAGTGCCTCCCCTCCCCTAGTGTCCCAAGTAATGTGCTAACCAAGATTATTGGGGTTAGGGCGGTTTGATTTAATTTTATGATCTCTACCTATGTCATGCAAGCAGGGCCTTCAAGAAAACCACAAACCAAGCAGAGGTTGTCCTCAGACAAATGAGAGCTAGGTGGTCGAGTTGACACTCTTGCATGTTACTTGTTAAGCTGAACAGGTCAGCCATCTTGGATGGCTGCAGGATCCTCCAGTCTAGCTCAATTGTTTTGCTTACCTCACTCTGCCTCCTGCTGAAGATACCCCTTGGTGACTGACATTCCCTGATGTATAGTTCAGCCTCCTGTTGGATACATTTACTGGATGCGAGGGGTCTCGTCCTGAGGTAGAAGATACAGTACTATGGTGGGATCTAAAATAGGATTCCAGGAAAAGATCTAGCTATATTGAATGTATCCCAACTTTGTGGAGTAAGCCAAGGGTGACTGACGGTTCTTACCACAGCCTTCACACCAGAGAAGGCACGGTATTATCAACTATCAGGTCATACCAGGTGAAAGATACTGGTTGTAATCTTAACCCAGATCATACTGATGTGGATCATCTTGTATGTATTAATGGTACACCAGATGTATTTACAACCAACACCATAGACCAGGAATCATATTCAGCATTTATGCTGATTTTGTTGCATTTTTTTATATATATTATTTTAAGGATAGGTTGCAAATCACTACTGTTATGTACAGAAGGGTTGGTATGTGTAGCTGTGGTATACTGACCCTAATAAATACACATTGCATTACTTATGTGGACAGCTACTTTAAGATACTGTACATGATGTTGCAATTGCCATGTTTGGGCAAGAACAATTAGATTGCTGTACCATAAGGATAGCTGTTGAAGAAAAATGTGCTAAGCCATCTATATTTAATTTTGGAACATATTTGCAGAATAAAGGGATCCACAATGACCTATTAGTCTTTTTGAGGAGGTGGCTGTAGATTTAAATGCCGTTCAATCACAGTCGTGTTGTGAGTTTTGGTGAAAACATATGCTGAAGGGATAAACTTTTGGTGTGCTCTGCCTTGTGGTAGGGCTCTCATAATGTTTCACGACTTTTGTCTTTGATTGTACTTCTGTTTGTAGGGTCAGGAGACTTTAGTCTTCTTTTAGTGGCTTTGTCTGGTCATTTCTGGCTTTCGTTTGGTAACTGGAGGATAGTGTTGTTCTTCCAGCTTCTGCTACCTTGCAGTATAGTTTTGTATCAAGTTTTGGGGTTATCATTTCCATGAAGTATAATGCCAGTACTGTAAAGGTATTTCCAGAGTCAGCACTTTTTTTTAAGATATACAACATAACATGACTTTGAAACAATTTGAAGATACTATTTGGTTGGTATGACGAGATACTATTTTTGTCTTTGGTATTGTCACCCTTTCTCTCGGCGGTTAGTGGAAGCTAGTTTGAATGGATGATCGTGGATTTTTTCCAAGATAGCACACCTGTTTGGCTTGCCAGCATGCAAGAAGCATTAGCCTTTCTGCCTATGAGGGAAACTTGTAATTTACAGCAGCTTGGGGGGGGGGGGGATGTAACAGGAAGGTACAGTGATCCCAAGACCAGTCCCAGCCATTTTGAATGAAGGGAATCCTGTGTTGTAATTACTGTACGATAATCCTGGTTGGCACATTACTTGTCCCCAGCAGAAGAGGACATTATCATAAAAGGCGTTTTAGAATTGGTCCTACATTTTGCATTATTCACTCACACTGTGCATAACACTATTGCTCGCATTATTAATAGCACGCAACTGCCACTAATGTTGTAAGGAGACGAGAGAAAAACTTGGAAGTATGGTAACATGCCGCTACTTCCGTCCTAGTATTTTGCTTCCATTCTTGTAGATGCATTTAATAATTATAATGGCATTTCTGTATTAAAGCATTTTTATATTTCTTATAACCAGCATTGTAAATAAATGGGAATATATTAGTTTGTACTTCTTGACTGTCCTTGTAAACTGGCGAGTCGGAAAATATATGTATGTTCATAATCATAGTCCTGTGTATGGCAGGCTAACTCAATTACCGTACGTTACAGGTATATGCATGTATAATATATGTTACACAAGTTCCAAATTTCTAACAAATTCCCATTTTGTATGATAAAACATTTCTCATTTACTATGGAAGGAGAGGGAGGAATGAAAAGAAATGGGAGAGGAGGGGTTGGAAGGAATAGTTAGGGGTAAGAGAGGAGGGGGGGAAGGGGTGGAGGGAAATAGGCAGGGTTAAGAGAGCAGGAAGGAAGAGAGGGGGAGGGGTGGAAGGAGAGGGGGATGTGGTGGAAGGAGAGGGATGGGGTAGAGAGGGGTGGAAGGAAACAGATAGAGGTGAGAGAAGCAGAGGAGGTGGAAGGAGAGGGGAATGTGTGGAAGGAGAAGGATAGGGGTGAAGGAAGGCAAGAAGGTGTGGGGGAGGAAAGAAGGTGAGGAGGGGTGTGGGGTGGAAGGAGAGGGGAGGAGGTGGAGAAGAGGGGGTGGAGGTGGAAGAAGAGGAGGGGGAGGAGGTGCAAGGAGAGGGAGAGGAGGTGGAGGTGGAAGGAGAGGGGGAGGAGGTGGAAGGAGAGGGGAGGAGGTGGAAGGAGAGGGGGAGGAGGTGGAAGGAGAGGAGGAGGAGGTGGAAGGGGAGGGGGAGGAAGTGGAAGGAGAGAGGGAGGGAGTGGAAAGGGTATATGCCCCAACACTGGATGCAGAGGATGACATCAAGGAGGCCTTTTATGCCGACCTTGACAAAGTGCTAATCTCTATCTCCAGAGAAGATAAGGCTGTGCTCCTGGGCGACTTAATGCCAGAGTTGGAAGAGATGCTAACATATGGCAGGGAATCATGGGGAGAAATGGATTAGGCAGGTGTACATGTAATTCCAACATCCTCCTCCTCCTCAGCAAGTGAGCTGCACACAACCTCACTATCACCTTGTTTAGGCAGGCTGTCAAGTTCAAGGGTTCGTGGCAACACCCATGATCCAAACACTGGTATCTAATTGGTTACACCATTGTCAGAAAAAGAGAACGCCGAGATTTCCTCATCACTTGAGCCATACGTGGCTCAGACCACTGTGACACTGATCATTGGCTCATCAGAGCCACATTCACTTCAAGTTGCCCCAAAATGGCGAAGGCAACAAGCCTCCAGAAGAAGTTTTAACACTAAACTTCTGGAGGATCCAGGTAGCATATGCTTTCAGAGAGGAACTCGAACATGGGCTGATAAACAACTCGACAACAAACCCAAATCCCAGTGCTCAATACGGTATTCTCGACACTCACGACAAAAACCTGAAGGCAGACCCTCGGCCAGATCAAAAGAATACACCAAGACTGGTTTGATGAAACTGACCCAGCAATCAATGTACTCGTTGATGACAAATGTACTGCTTTAACTGACTGGCAGAACAACCCTCAGTCTCGGACCAAAGCTGATACCTTCAGCAAGAAGAAAGCGGCGGCCCAGCGTGAACTTCGCAATCTAAAGAACGAATGGTTGAAAAATAAAGCATGTGAAACTCAAAACTTGCCGATCAACACAAGATGAGTGGATTTTTCAATTCCACTAAAACATTTTTTAGGCCAATCACTCATAGCGCAGCCTCTCTCTGCTCATCCGACGGTTACTCCCATTCACTTTACAAGCATGGTTTGATTGCACCTGTTCTCTTGCATGTAGGGAGAGAGATAAGGCATATCAAGTTATGAAACTATCTCCTCCTATTACCCACTCCTCTTTCATTACTTCTAGGGCCAAGCGGAATTTTATAAAAAGAAAGACCGCTGTCCTGATTAACTCTTCTTCTAGTAAATCCTTCTGGTCCATAACCAAAAACATGTTATAACTTCTGCACTCCCTCTTTTCCTCTTCTGACCTGATAACTCTATAGCCAACTCTCCCCCTGATAAAGCCAATCTTCTTGGCACCTTATTCTCCTCTAACTCCACCTTAGACAATTCCAACTCTATCCTTCCTACCCTTGCTCCTCCTACTGAACCTATGCACTTTCCTATTATCTCCACTCGTAGGGTTGCTGGCGTGTTATCCAAGTTGGATGCGAGTAAGGAGTATGGACCGGACGGAATACTCCCTCGTGTTCTGATGATTCTGCTCTTCACTCTTCTTCACATCTTCCCCTTCCCCTAATTCTGAAACTCGATCTGTTTCTATAGCGGATATCATTACATCTATCAATGCGGTTCTTTGCAGCATCCCAATAGTAATAAAACTCGGTATTTACCAATTACACTTTCCAAATTAGATGATCTCCCACCAATCACATTTCAGGATGCAATCATTCTGCCAAATTGTAAAATTCATATGCTAGGCCTCACCATTTCCTCTAATATGTCATGGAAGCCACACATCCACAACATTGCTAAAGCTGCCTTCCAAAAGCTGGGAATGCTGTACAGATGCCACTGCTACTTCACTCCTGAGCAGTTGCTTCAAGTACACAAGGGATTCATTCATCCTAACTTGAGTACTGCTTGGGTCATATCTGGGATGGCTCCTCTTCTGTCCAACTGTTAGATAGGGTGGAATCAAAGGCATTTCGTTTTATTAACCTTCTCGTTCAGTTGATAATCTTTCTTCCATTTCTCTTTACTGCAATGTTGCTTCACTCTCTCTCTTTCACAGGTACTTTAACGGGCATAGGGAGTAGCTGTAATAAGGTAAAAATAAATATTGTACTGTACTGTATATGAAGGGTACAGTACTGGTATTAATAAGTTCAAATTATTACAGTAACATATCTTTACTAATTAATAAATAACAAATAAACAATATTTTGTCCAGTTACAGTAAGAATGACAGGCAGGGATGAGTGGTCAGTTTCTCTCCCTAAGGTTCTCCATCCCTCCTCCACCACCAGTCTATGTACAGAACTAAAAGAATTTATTTGAAATACTCTAACATTCAATGCCATAATATCCAGACCACTGGACTCAAATGTACGAAGTTAATAACTAAAATATTTATGTTTAGTGCAAACTATGGGATACTTATACTCAAATTAATTGCCATCTTGCAAGAATTCCAGCAATGCAAATTATATTCTGCCAGTCAAGTCTGACATTTTATAAGATAAAAACCAAGCCGAAAATCATCTTCATCCCAGTAATTGTTATCACCCACAGCCATCTACCTCCCCTGTTTGGCTGGGTGGAAGGGGAGGGGGAGATGGGGTGTTGACAGCCAGGAGGGGAGATTACTGGGTGCATAGTTATCAGTGGAGTGGTCATGGACGCAAGATTATAAAAGACGGAGTTTAAGTTTTTCCTTATAAAATGTCACTGACTTAGCAGAATATACTGTAACTTGCATTGCTGGAATTCTTGTAAGCTGGCAATTAATTTGAGTATAAACATCCCATAGTTTGCACTAAACATAAACATTTTAGTTATTAACTTAGTACATTTGAGTACAGGTTGTGATAATTTATGCATTGTGGTTGCAGTTGGGAAGCTTCGTGATATCACTAGTGTATAATGTGTCTAGATAAGACCTGGTTTATTCACTGATCTGCTTCAAGCATTTAAGGGATTCATGCGTCCTAACTTGGAGTGCTGCTCTCATATCTGGGGTGGCTCTTCTTCTGTCCAACTGTTAGATAGGGTGGAATCAAAGGCATTTCGTCTTATTAACTCTCCTCCTTTAGTCGCCAATCTTTCTTCCCTTTTTTTTTGCCGCAATGTTGCTTCACTCTCTCTTTTACCGATACTTTAACGGGCAATGTTCGGTGGATTTGACAACCTGTGTACCGCCGGCAAGGCCGTGGGCTCGTAACACACGTCTTGCCCGCGGTGCCCACCATTTTTCTGTGGATGTCGGTCACACTAGAATAACCCGTTACAGTACATTGTTGTGTATCGTATGTGGCCAGTTGTCAAATTTCTCTTTGTTAGGTTCACATACATACATATGCACATGTAGATCTTGCACTAAGAATGAAGGTGAGAAGGGAGACTCACTATGGCGTTTTCTATATATATATATATTATATGTACAATGCAGTGCTAGGGAGTTGCTGTGTGGTGAGGAGCTTGTTGAGAGTTGGTCTTTTCTGTTTGAGAGCGTTGAGTAAAATCCTCTTCACGGTTGTTGTTGTGTTGTTAAGATTGTCCGTCCGTAGTCCGACACGGGCCTTTGCCTATAGGCGGCCCGTTTGGTGGTTCCGGCTGGAGCTCCTGGAGCAGCCAGACCGGAGTTAGGATTGGAGGTGGTCCCACTATGGAGAGCATCTTGTCTAGTGTGTCTGTGTGGCCTACGAAGGCCTTCCTGTGACCGAAGTCCTCTTCACGGTTGTTGTTGTGTTGTTAAGATTGTCCGTCCGTAGTCCGACACGGGCCTTTGCCTATAGGCGGCCCGTTTGGTGGTTCCGGCTGGAGCTCCTGGAGCAGCCAGACCGGAGTTAGGATTGGAGGTGGTCCCACTATGGAGAGCATCTTCAATAGAGTGTCTGTGTGGCCTGCGAAGGCCTTCCTGTGACCGAAGTGATGCTCTTCACGGCGAGGCTGGGGTTATTTATACGATTCTGATGGAAGTGAGCGGCGCTGCTGATTGGCTGAGGTGAAAGGCGGTAACTGGTCAATCACCGCGCAGTCCGAAAACGAGGCTTGGTCTGAGGAACTCGCCGCCGGTTGGCTGGTCAGCGGACAAATCGGCAGTTGTAGGGGAGAGTATGCTCTACAACATCCTTCTTTCCTCACACAGGTAAACTGCCTTCTTCTGTGTTTCCATACTTGTACAATCTGTCTCACTTTAAAACGCTGGTTTTCCGGCATCCTCGTGGTGTACATTAACACAGTTTATTGGGCACCCCCCTTACATCCTGTGCAAGGTGAAGCACAGAAGCATTTACAGCGCCCATCTGGGAAGCATGTTGACCCCGATGTTGTGCTGTGTCTCACGTCTCGATAAGTGTTATGAAGTAAGCTGGCGTGGCTACAATTCATACCATCACAGTTCTTTATCTATAAGTTTAAGTGGACATTGTGATAAGGACCAACAGAACAAGAATTATCCGGTTCTAAGGCATCAGGTACTTGTGTTTTCAGTACACGGCTGAGGAATTACATAAAGATCACTGCCAAGGTTTTTGTTGGGATAGGTTTGGTTAAATTGAGTCGAGTTTTGTTAGGTTAAGTTAGGTTTTCTTAGATTGGATTGTGTTAGGTTAGGTTGGGTTTGCCAAGGCTGGGTTGGGTTAAGTAAAGGTGTAGATTCACCTTTTATCCTCTTCACTGCACTGATCGGCTCGTTCGCCGCTTGGGCGATCGGTCACGTCTCTGTTACGCACTGTTGGCAAGTACTGGGCATGCACCGGCTCCTGAATGTACCTGAACCTGCTCCAGTGTTGGTCAAGTCTTGTCTTGAAAGAGCTCACACTCGGTGCCGTCACAACACTTTCTGGTAGATTGTTCCAAGAGTTCACAACTCTCACTCCGAAAAAGTTTGCCCTCACAGTTTTCTGGACTTGCGGCTTCTTCAATCTTGAGCTGTGACCCCTTGTGGGGCGAGCGTCCGCCAGCAACAAGTAAGGACACTCGACTGAGTAGTGCCCCTTGAGAAGGGCAGGCACCAGTCTGGTGGCCCTCCTTTGAACATTTTCAACCAACTGACAGTCCCTAGCATATCTCGGGGACCAGACGGGGTGACAGTACTCCAGATGGGGAAACACTTCACTATTGAAGATCGTTACGAGGGAAGGACCGTCTAGATGTCTGAACGACCTTCTTATAAGACCCAATAATTTATTTGTTTGATTTACCTTCTTCACGTATGTTTGTACTGTACGATAAAAAAAAATGTAACTGAAGGTGTGAGAATGTACAGTACCTATTAAATACAGCACCAAAAATAATGTACACAAATAATATAATTTTTTTTTTCCATGACAAGAAAAGTTCTCTTAACAGTTAATGAAAAAATTAACATTGAGAATCTTTGCATAAAAATTCTCCCATTGTGTACCGTTAAGAGACCAAGATTTCAGTTCACACACAAAAAAAAAAAAAAAACTTAATTTTGGTCCAAACTCAGCTTAGTGCAGGTATCTAGATAATGTAATCCTGCAAGTTATGATATTTAGGCAATACTTTTTATATTTTAGTTTAAATTAGACAGTAGAATCATTTCTTGCATCATCAGTTACGGAGAAAATTCAGCATATTAACCTTTGGGAACCGTAGATGGGTCATTCTTACACGGGGTACTTGGGTCAGCCTCTGGAGTTGTGAATGACTAACCGATACTGTACTGTACTGTACATATTTATCATTCAACAGCCGTGCGGTATCCCTTGGCTGATGAGTGATGATAAAGGTCCTCTATATACACGTATTTAACAGTTATTATAAAGTGGCCGAATTAATTGTGTTAACTAAATACAAAATTCCAAAGGCGTTGAGTACAGTGCTGAAGTGACACCAAGGAAGGCACTGTGTACTAAACTTCCAAAGACCACAATTGATGGCATTCACCCTGAGTCTGTAATATAACAAGGTGTCATTATGTCATATAAGTAGAATATCCACCCCCGATGGTAATGTCATGCAGACTGTGTCATCAGGGGACACGTGGTGATACAGTGATAATAATCATAACATATTCCTCTTTGCCTCTGATCGCCTCGTTAGCCACTTGGGCGGTCGATAACGTATGTGCTGTTAGCATCCCCACTCGGTGCAGCACACTCACAACACTCTCTGGCAGGCTGTTCCAAGAGTTCACAATTCTCACCCCAAATAAGTTTCCTCACAGTTTTGTGGATCGTGAACAATAAGCTTGTAAGCATGAGACTAATGCCATGCCATAAGCTATATAACATTATCAAAGGTTTATCCTATGTAACCAATTATGTGCTGTCATATAATAAGGCACAAGTAAAAAATGTGAAACTATTATGATTTGATGAATTAAAATTTATTCAGCGTGAGAGCACATTGTGGGACTGCAGTCAGTGACTTTAAGTAACAATTCAACTAATTCTTCTATGTGCTGCTAAGTGTACTGGATAAGCTATTACAGTATACTAATTATACTAATCATCTAATTATACTGCATTTCATATAGTTGCACCACTATAATTTAATATAATATATTATTGACGTATGATAACTGAAACAATCAACAAAAAAGTATTTTAGGTTCAACAAGTGAAGTACAGGTATTTATAAAGTTCTCAGTTTTAATTAAATATATATTAATTCATCATTAATAATAGTTCTTTGATAATTATACTGGTTAAATCAGCATTATCTGAATAAACTATTATAATATTAATAATTTGTAAAGTCACAAAATTCTGCTAAAATAACAATAATAATAATGACCAATAGAATACATGTCAACTGTAGCATAAATATTGGACTCTGTAATAGGTTTAATTCGATAATAATAACAGTAATAATACAAATAAATGTAATACTAATAATAATGAAAATAAGTTTAATAATAATAATAATAATAACCGTTTTATTATAGACAAATAAAAAAAGGTTTTTGGTGAAGTCAAACTGTTCCAGGACCACCAGAGGACCACCAGTCACCCGGACGCTGGCGGCAAGGTAACGTCTTATTGGCAATGTGAGTAAAATACGTTCTTATAAATAATTACTTGTAATATTAACTTGTCATGGTTTATCATTCACGGTCTTAGGTTTTATTGAATGATATATGCATGCCTGTCATAATAGTGTTGAGTTACTGAGAGAAATAAATGGCGGGGTGTGTTACCAAGAGCCCATTGGTGACCCTTGACTGTGCTAGGAGTAAACTTGCTTTACAACTTATATCCCTATAATGCCATGCTAAATTTCCTGAGTTAGTGTGATTTACATATATATGGCTGTTATATTAGACATGAATTATTGGGTAATATGCTTGGTGGGAATTGTTACTAGGTGTAATTAAGGAGGCGTGTCTATGTACAGTAGAACTCGTACCCAGTAAACTTAACCTTGAACTTAATGCCAAGTGTCTTTCTGAACGTAATGCCAAGTGTCTTTCCAAAGTCTTATAACACGTATTTTGAATGTTGTTGTAGTAGGTGTAGTGGTTGGTGAGGTGTGGGGAATTAAACATTACCTGGTCGTGGGCTACAGGTGGGGGTCGACACTACTGTATTTCTCATTATTTTGATGATTTTTTTATATTTTATTAATGATCAGAATGGAGTCCAGTCAAAGGAAAAGAGAAGGATTGTGAAATATTGACAATTTTATGTATATATTTTTTGGTATTATTTTCTTGTAGCTCCGTTCATTCCTACCACTAATTTATTATCATATTCGAATAAGACATCTAATTATAAGATAATTTTCATCTATTACATTACCGGCGGAAATGTATAATAACGGAGATAGCTTTTCCAAATTTTTTTCTATTTTCTTCCATTAACGTCGCTCTATTATCGTCTGCCTCTTGCCTAACACTGCGTGTCTCTCGCGTCTCCTTCATAAATCATGACGTGCATGCGTACCTGTACATGTCACGCGGCCAATCAAAAGCATTTTTGCTAATTCAGAGTATATTTGGCCCAATCAAAATTGAGTTTTATTTTGGGTCTCATATTTTGAAATTCAATTTCAGTTCCTACCATGGAAGTGTGCGATGTGTGTCACTTAAAGTATATGGAGCTAATTGCGAGTTTTGGGAAAAAAATAACGTAGAAACTATAGCATTTTTACGATCACATGGTGTTCTTCCAACCTTAGTAAAGTGTACTAAGAGCAAGACTGAATGTAAATATCGCAAAGACCAACGTATGTGGCGTAGTGTAAGAATCCCAGAATGCAACGACGAACAAGAACCAGGCCAATAAGGTAAGAAATAGGGGATTCCAGCATATTGTGAGTCAGTTAAGTTAGGTTAGGTTTGGTTATTGTTTTTCTAGTGTTTTATTGTGTACGGTATTTGTTAGTCGCTAAGGCACTTTTTTTCTCGGAAAACGTCAAACGAAAAAGAAATCGCTAAAAAAACCCGGCTAATTTCCGCCAAAAAGGAAGGTCATATTCAGTCTCAGCACACACAAATACACTAGAAAAATATACTTTTAACTTGCTACAAGTGAATGGAGCTACAAGAAAAATTTACCTATTTTTTACTAGGGGTACAAAACTTAGTATATTTTTAACCTCCCCTCCTATAGCTCCTGCAAGTTTATTAGTCATAGGTTTAGTACAGGAGGAACCAGAGACAACTCCTGCAATATTTGGTAGGTTCACTGGACAACACCCTGAGGGGGGTCCAACGAATTACCCAAAAGTACCCAAAAGTATATTAAATCAGGGTAAAATCTTAACGAATATCTGTTATACATACACAAAACATGTCTAATAATATTTTTAGTTTAGTTAGTATAACAAATTTATTGGCAAAGCTTGTAGTACAGTTTGCCTATTCTGAGTAATTCAGTCAGGTCTTGACACTGAGGGTGGTATCACTTCTCACTGCCATGCAGGACAGAGGTTCATACACAGAGATGCATCATATTCCTTGACAGTACATATACATATATGTACACACACATACACATACATATACACATATACATATACATGTACTACATATATATACACACATGCACACATACACACATACATACACATATACACACATACATACATACATACATACATATACGTCGGTCAGATTCATGTGGGTAATGTCAATCTTCACTGCCATACAGGACGGAGGTTCATACAAAGAATGCATCATATTCATTGACACTATATATACACATATGCACACATACACACGTACATACACTACTCCTTGCACTGTCACTATGTTGAAATGAACTGTAGTTTGAGCTTTTCCCCATCTAGTTATTATATATCTTATTTGTATCACTTATGTTACTTGTATATTATTTATAATTCGAAACCCATTCCCCAAATATGTAACTGTATATTTTCAGCCTTCTGGCTGCTAAGCTCTTTCAATAAACCGTTAATTATTATTATTATTATATACACACATACATACATATACGTCAGTCAGATTCATGTGGGTAATGCCACTGTTAACTGCCATGCAGGACAGAGATTCGTACACAAAGAAGGAAATACATCATATTCATTAGCAGTATATATAGGTCAGTGGATCACATACATTGGAGTCATATTCTAATTGAAGACTAATCAGTGTGGGCCAGCAGCAAATTTGGGATAAACAGCAAGAATGTCCTCAAGCACCCCTGATTCTATGAAGTAATTACATAGTTCAAGATACAATAAGCCAGGTGGCCTGAAGTCTTTGACAGTGTCACATTCAATAATATAGTGTTCAAGTGTATGCTTTAAAGGTTTATCACAAAGTTTACATGCTGAGTGTTCCAGTATGGGTACAGCGTTACTAACTTGCCAGATGTGTCTGTATCCTAGCCTAATTCTGGCCACGACTACATCACATTGTCTGGTTCTGTCCTTATGCTGGCCATACCGGTACCTCTTGTCACAAAATTTGTCATATTTACTAATGCTACAACTGTCGGGTCTCTCTGCATTTCTCACTTCTTCTAGATCAGAGTTCATGATTCTGACTTGAATATTTTTAATTACAGCATTGGACAGGCCAAGGTTGCGGTCAACATTTTCTTTCTTACATGCCTCATTGGCCAGTCTATCAGCACGGTCATGATACCTGATTCCAACATGGGACGGAATCCACACAAATTCGATACGAAAGTTGTTCTCATTGGCAGTTATCACATTCCTTTTAATATCACATACAACTTTAGACATAGAGCCTGATGGGCTGTTCATTGATTTCAAAGTGTAATTTTGTAAAAATAATTTGTAAGATGAATAATAAACAGCGAAAAACTTTCAGTATTGGCGAACGCTAAATTCCAAAGAGTTCGTGAACAAGGGAGATAACTCAGATCCATCGTGATGCACTTTGCTAACCTAACCTAACGAAAAGTAAATCCTACGGCTATGTTAAATACCCCAAAGTAACAGAAACATAGGTAATTATATCTCCATTTTGGATAGGTGACTCTTTGGAATTTAGCATTTTTCGCTGTTTATTATTTCATTATTTTGACTACATTTCAATTAAAACATTTTTAACCAGGTTTTATTGATGTAAAACATATATTCGTTAAGATTTTACCCTGATTTAATATACTTTTGGGTAATTCGTTGGACCGCCCTGAGGGTCCTTCCTGGGATTGAACCTGGGTCGCTGTAGCAAGAGGCAACATACTTTACTGTTGTACCTCAAACATCCTCATTGGTAGCCAACCCAACAAAGTGGTCATATTATTTTTCTCAGGAAGAAGTGTGGCTCAACCATTATTGACTACAGACATGACCAATCAAACCTTACCCAATAATGTCAGTGGTTAGTGTTGCCTGCTGTCATAATGGTTTATTATCTGCAGTGTCCTACAGGCAACATTGTTGACATGACTGCAGTGTTTTGTATACTTTATCATAAGTTCACATGAATTTTTTGGAGTAGTTATTTGTCTGTCACCTACGGACCTTTCCTTCTGTTAATTGTCCGACATTCATTCTGAGTGGTCAAGGCTGTTGGCCAAGGTAACTGAATTCCGTAACTTGCAAACATGTTATTTATGTTAGGTTAGGTTTGAACAGAATAAATGCCAGACAAATGACCACTGCATAATTTTTGTGTGCAGAATAAAGGTACAGCAGCTGTATGTGAAATGTTGATGTCTATTGGTACAGCAGCCTAATGTGCATGGGTTGGCAGACTAAAAAAATATAGTTACTAAGATGGCCTTCATTCTGACTAACCAAACCTAACCATTAGCAACACAGTCTGCCAGTACGACTGTCATTCCTACAGTACATCTAGTGAGATTTTTTCCCTTTTTTATTCTGATCAGATGTTCATTCTAAATGATCCTGTTGGAATAAACGAACAATGTGACAACTCCCCCTTAACCTTCAGTAAATTATGATACTCTGTACAGTACTAGAGAAGTGATGAGTGAAAGTTGAGGTACTGACTCCAAAAAAACATGACGTTCTTCATGAGTCAAAAGTTATGATTCCTGGAGTGTTTCATTAAAGTATTATCTGCTATTTAAGAGGATAATACTGTACACTGGGGGCACAAGTGATTGCTGTTTGATTGTTACAAACAAGCACTCAAGTACTGCCGGGAGTTTGAATGCAGTACGGTACATGACTCGCTGGTATATTCCTGCTGAAATCAGATGTCCAATACAGTACAGTACAGTACTTCAAATTGGGTTTTTGTCAGTTTACCAAAGTGTTGGAGGTGCAGACACCATAATTTAATTGTTTTAAATGAAATTTAAATGGTAATATCTCCGTTAGCCGGAATCCCTCAAACCCGGAACTCTCCGATAGCTGGAATTGAAATTTTATCGGAAAATCTTTCCCAAAGTCGTAATTTTCCAGAAAATTCCGGCTTTGGGAACGATATTCCAAGGGGCACATTTTCCGGAAAATTCAGAGAAAATTTTCCCAATACCCGGAAATTTTTGGGAATGAGGGATTTTTTTCCGTCTTTGAAAGAGTCGTCTCATTCCCCGAAGTGCTTTTTATCAATTGTTCCGGCTAACGGAGATATCACTGTACAGT